AACCATACTGCTGTATCCCCAGTAACCATACTGCTGTCCTATTGTCACTTTACTGCGTCCTCCACATAATGACCGTGTGTTTAAAGTGTTAGTATTCACTCTGGTTGCACACCAAATGGCACCATATTCCCTATATAGGGTACTACTTTTGATCAGGGCCCATAGTAGTCACTACCTTTATAGGGCCTATAGTAGTGGACTACCTTTATAGGGCCTATAGTAGTCACTACCTTTATAGGGCCCATAGTAGTGGACTACCTTTATAGGGCCCATAGTAGTCACTACCTTTATAGGGCCCATAGTAGTGGACTACCTTTATAGGGCCCATAGTAGTGGACTACCTTTATAGGGCCCATAGTAGTCACTACCTTTATAGGGCCTATAGTAGTCACTACCTTTATAGGGCCTATAGTAGTGGACTACCTTTATAGGGCCCATAGTAGTCACTACCTTTATAGGGCCTATAGTAGTGGACTACCTTTAGAGGGCCTATAGTAGTCACTACCTTTATAGGGCCCCAAGTATGGGGACTACTTATAGGGCCCTATAGTAGTCACTACCTTTATAGGGCCCATAGTAGTGGACTACCTTAGGGCCCATAGTAGTACTACCTTATAGGGCCCATATGGACTACTTATAGGGCCCATAGTAGTACTACCTTATAGGGCCTATAGTAGTGGACCTTAGGGCCTATGTAGTCACTCTTAGGGCCCATAAGTGGAACCTTATGGCCATAGTGCACTACCTTTATAGGGCCCATAGTAGTGGATACCTTAAGGGCCATAGTAGTCCTCTTATAGGCCTAATAGTCACTACCTTATAGGCCTAGTAGGGACTACTTATAGGGCCTATATAGTCATACCTTTTAGGGCCCTAGTAGTATACCTTTTGGGCCTTAATACTTTATAGGGCCCCTGTGGGGATACCTTAAGGGCCCCTAGTAAAATTTTCCCAAAAAACATACTTTATGGGGCCAAATACAACCTTTACCCCTTAAAACCCCTTTTTGGGCCCCTGTGTAATCCTTTTTTTGGGGGGACTTTTAACCCTTTGTATCCTCCTTTATGGGCCCAAAACCTTTAAACCATGTTTCCCCACCATAGGGGATTAAATACACCCCTTTTTTTT